CAGTAACAACATTTCCAGTATGAATTCTTTTCATCTTGATGTGTATTAAATTATATAATTTTACCATTAAATTATATAATTTTTACCATTAAATTATATAATTTTACCATTAAATTATATAATGTTACCATTAAATTATCTAATGTTACCATGAAATTATATAATTTTACCATTAAATTATATAATTTTGCCATTAAATTATATAATTTTGCCATTAAACCATGAAATTACTGTTTATTTCTGCACATAAGACAATCTTTAAATCCCCCAAATCACCCTTAGAAATTGTGGGTCATCTCATCTATAATTCTAGAAAAGAAACCTTAAATTCAGAGTGATGGTTGTCGATAGTGTGGCACCATGCATAAGTTAGCAAGCTGAAAAGAAATACTCATAAATATATGATTTGTTTTTTACGGTTTGTCAACCATTTGATAATTATTTAGAGCTGAAAAATATTTGGGTTTTGAGAATAATTCTTTCTTTACGTTCAAGCGATCTGGAAGAAAGAAAGAAAAGACAAGAAAAAAAAAGGAAAAAATAAATAATACGAAACCAGGTCATAAGCGAGCACACACACACTCGACTGATACATAACAGATGTCAAAAATATCAGGTCAAGCACCTGACCTACTTCCGTGTCCACGAAAAATGGAAGTTTGTTATCAAATGGTTGAAGAAACAAAGTTTAGGGACAATGGAAAAAAATATGATAGGTAACAGGTGGGAAGTGTATCTAAGGATATGAAGACAAACCATTAATACGAAAACACAGGCAATTCCAGAATTAAAAAAAGCCCCACAAGATGATGTTGGCTGAAAATGTTTTTTTTGAGATAATGAAGATTTTTTGTTATCAAGCTTCCAGCGAAAGAAAAAAGTGAAATATTTTTATTCGTTCACGAAAACGCCACCCAGGTCTGAGAAATCCCTTTTCTTAGGTCGTATCCAATTAGCGATAAACTGCTTGACAAATACCACGTGTTAAAAAAAGCCGAAGGTGTCATCGCAGTCGCTCATGACAAGGGCAATTTAAATTTTTTTTTTTTTAAGCAAGGTGTTTCTTCCCCAGAACAAAGCCACGGATTGTCCACGCCCGACTAAAGACGTCATTGGCTAGATGGGATCACGTGGCACACGAAGGAGGAGGAAAATACCCGACCAGGACCTCATTGGCCGAAAGCGGTCACATGACACACAAAGGAGGAGGAAAGATACCCGACCAGGACCTCATTGGCCGAGAGCGGTCACGTGACGCACGAGGAGGATCGGTCGACGCCCGACCAGGACCCCATTGGTGAGGGGTCACCGATACGAAAGAAGGAAGCGGGTATACGCCCTCAGAGACACAATAAGGAAGTAGGGAGGAAAGTGAATTACCGAAAATGGAAAATCCCTAACCAAAAATAAGAAGGGTGGATACGTATTTAGAATTATCAAGAGAAAACCCCAGCGCCGACAGACCCAACCCCAGTTTTTGACTGCGTCAATAAAATTCGCGGGACCCCAACCGACAGAAATCAGTTTGCGCCCGCGGATGGAGATGGCGAGAGAGAAGAAGTCAGCCGTGAACGACAAGCAGAGATCAGCCGCGGACGGCGAGCGGAAGTTTGAGCCGTGAACGACAAGCAGAGATGAGCGCCCAGTGTTGAAAATAATTCGCGTCAAGATAGCTGACCAAGATTCACGCACACTTCTGGACTCTTCTTCAACCAAGAACAAGTAGTTTGAAGAGCGACTTAGAATCAGACCACAGAAATAAGTTTTTCACTTTCGTCCAAAGACACACCCGAAACACAAATTTCTTAGAGAGCAGACAACTGGAAGCCTTAAAGTTGCCTAGTAAAAAGCGTCGTGCCACAATCCACAGAACGGGTCGGGAGGTAGACATAGTCCTATGTACCGAACAATTAGACATAAAAAGTTTGTTACCTTTTTCTTGATACGTTGGACCTTTGAGTTTTTATTTTATTTTTTTTTTTTTTTACATAATTGTGTGTTATCACCCCCGTTGGACTCAACTTGCATTACGGCCCCAACCCTGTTTGATCTCGTCTGTCTAAGATCAAATCACAACGTGGGTAGGCAGACCGGAGATCAGTGCAGTTACCCTGGTAACCAGGCGTTGGAAGCAGGTTGGGAACGACGAGGCTGGTATCAATCTAACCAAAGGGTTAGAACGTCACGTTTGGAGCAGCGAGGAGCGAACAGCTGACGCCGCGACAAAAGACGTCACAACTGGTGCTGTCCGTGACCAGGATATCAGAGCCTGGGGAGCACGTGACGTCACAATTGGCGCCGCGAACGGGATCGAACGACACAGTCGACGCTGCGACCGGGGGACGACGTCACAATAGGCTAACCTCAGCCTCACTGTGATAACCAATAATGTACATGAAAAGATTCAGATTATCAAATAAACTGATAATAAAAGTAATAAAACCATTTCTATTTTATATTTTTACTGGCATAATTTCATAATAAATTACCTATTTGAAGA